CTTGGTGGTTTACCTCCAAATCCTCCTCCTGGACCTGGTGATGGATTTCCTCCTAGACCACCTCATCCACGTGAACCTAGACCTATGAATAATGATGATGAAATTGATTTAATTCGACCTATTCAAAACCTACAAAATCAATTTCAAAACTTACAGAATCAACTTCAAACACGTGATCAAAACCTACAAAACCAAATAGAACAATCAGGTATTCGGTTAGATCGGATAAACAGAAATATACAAAACAAACACATAAGAACACGTCAAAATACATTCAATCGTTTCAACGGATTAAATCAAAGAATCATCAATGCAAACAATATTTTAAATCAATTATTACTCAATACAAACACTAGATTCGATAATCTAAATAATGAAATAAAAAGAATCAATAATAATATAAATCAAAGATTTGGTATTTTAGATAATAATATAAATGGAATAAGTAATGCTTTTACTAATCTAAACAATAGAATAAATCATGTTGATAACAAATTAAAAAATATCGATGAATCAAACGATGACATAGGTAAATCTATTCGTTTCATAGATAAAAGAACGGGTGAAATTAACGAATACTTGAGAAACATCAGAGACACAAACATAGGTGAAAGATTAAATAGAATGGAAAACTATATGGATAATAATGCGATTAGTGTTTTAAATATACAAAATCGAATAAATGATAGAGATGAAAACTTTGAAGAAGCATTTAATAATTTCAGAGATAACATTCAAAATTTCATGAACCAACACCTTGCAAATAATATAGAAATGAGAAATACGGTACAAAGAATGATGAGACAACCAAAAACAAAAAGATTTACAATAAGACACAGAAGAGCATTGCATCGTAATAGAATAACACCATTCAAAATCAGACGAGATGGTTCAAGAATCAGTGAACTTTCGAAGAATCCTTTAACCTTCACTTCTAAGTTACTATCAAATAATCAAATGATAGTTCCAAAAATCTATGATAATTCTAATAATCCGGGTATCGGATCTAGTACAAGTCATAATTTTGATTTCAATATTGATCTTATGGAAAACATGTTTATACATTCTACTAAAGATGCGGAAAATTTAGGTAATGCTATATTTGATCCTAGAGCTAGTGATAATTTAATGTTTGATATAAATAAAATTATACATAAACGTAAAGAACGTGATGAATACGACAAAGAATTAAACGAAGAACGTACATTCAAAAGAACATCTACAAAAAATAGTATGTATCAAGACAAAACATACACTAGTGATAACATTGAAGATTTATTTCAAACAGCAAGTGAATACAAAGAAGAAACCGAAAGAAGGATTGCTCAAAATCAAGCAAATCCACAATCAATCATTATACGAACCGAAGAACAAATTGATGATCAAACAATATTAGAAGAAGAGATTAGTATGACTATCGAAGAAGATATAGACGTAAATAATTTAGAAAAAGTAGAAGAAATAATATCTAGACCAGGATCTTCCATGAGTACAAAATCAGAAAGTAGATTTGATAAAATCAAAAATTATTTTAAAAACAATTAAAAATTAATAAAATTTAAAATTTTTCAAATAATTAATTTATTAATAAATATAAAAATATAATAAATATAAAAATATAATAAATATAATAAATAAAATTTATAATAATTATAAAATTAATAAGGTTTATATCTCGAATTTGAATTTTTATCTAAATTTTTATCTAATTTTTTCTTTGTATATCTCGGTTTAACTTTTTTAAATATAGTATCTACATTATCAATTTGATTATTATTTAACTCTGTATCAAATATAACATTATTTTTTTTCATTACTTCACTCAACTTTTTAATAATATGAATATATTTAATATCTTCATTCTCTTCATCAACTTCGCTATCGATAATATCACAGCCTAACTTACAACCATTTTTAATCCAGCGAAAAATTTTATATTTTATCATAATTCTAAACTGAGGACTTCTACAAATAATATTGATGCATTTACCACTAAAAATTTCAAGTTCGGCAATTTTTAATAATAACTTGAACATTGTTTCAAATCCATCATTACTATCAGAAGAATATTGATCAATTTTTCTTGCAATTTTTTCCTCATCATCTATCCCTGCAGAAGCATGAGATCCTATAATCTCATTATTAACTCTAGGTTGTTCAAGAACAACATATACATTGACATAAGTCAATTTTCTTCTTTCCGATTTAATTTCTCGATTAAATTTTTTAATAATCATTGAATCTCTATTAAGTTCATCTTCACTATAGTAAGGTAAAGAAGTAAAAAGTTTATTTCTATTATCTTCAAGAATTTCTCCTGTTTCTGAACAAAGATAATTTATCTTTTCATTTAAAAAAGACATTTTGATACTTTTTTTTTTACTTTTTCTTTGAAAAAAAATAAAGACTTAAATAGTTTATTTAATTATTAATCAATAATTAAGATATTAATAATCAAATAATGTTATTTAAAGATGAATTCTGGAAATTTTGATTATTAATGGATATCGATAATGATAACATTGATGAAAAAGGCTCAAAAAAACGGTATGATAAAATTATAAAAAAAATATTTATGATAATATAATTAATGATTTTTTATTTTTATTAATTCTTTAGTATGTATAAAATATTTTTTTTTTTTTTTAATTATTGATTCAAAACTAATCTATATCAACTTTAAGGCAAAGTAAATAATAGCGTTAAGAAAAAAACAACCACAAGTAAAGATATTGAAGATCTTAAAAAACAATTAAGTGATTTAGTGGATGAAAAAGAAAAAAAGATTACAAATCTAGAGTTGAAAAATGAAATTCTCAGCAAAAAAATAGATGAATACAAAGAAGAAATTAACGATCTACAAGAAAAAAACAAAATATTAAATGATAATTTGAAAAACTTGAAAAAAAACGAAGAAGATATCAAAAATAAAGATATCTCAAAATTACAAGAAGAAATCACCAAATTAAAAACCGAACAAATGACTTTTAACGATTTTCATAACCTTAAATATAGTGTAACAGAACATGTTATGAAAAAAATAGTTAATAATATTCATAGTATGGTTTATCATCATATCAATAATATTAATAATGATATTATCAATTACACAGCAAATATTAAAACTTCGGAAACCATTAATGAATATTATAATTCAATTTGTAATGATGATTTATTAGATAATTTAAATTTTAAAAATATTGAAATTGTAAACGAATAATTTATTTATATATTAATATTATCATTCAAATAAAAGGATCATAATCTTTATTTTTATCACATGTAAAATAATTTGTGAGTTTAGCTTGTTTTTTTGGAATTAATATTTTATATTCTTTTCTTTTCCTTTTACCATTATCATTCAAATCTAAACCCTCGTCAAGCCTCTTATTTGAATATCTATCACACATACTAACTAACCATTTTTTTGCTTCTTTTTCTGAACATCTCATCAAAACTGATAAATTCGATATGATACCTTTAAGATAATGAAATTTGTCAATTCGATCACCTGATATAATTCATGAAAAAAATTTCGTTAATAAATAAAATATAAATAATATCAATAATATATTGTCATACCTTTTTTCGCATCAAATAAATGAATTAATTTTATACATTTATAAACTTCTTTAACATTGTGTTTATATAATTTGTAATATTTAAAATGTGGTTTATCAACTTCTATACCTAACATCTTCATATATGCAACAAAATTCTTTACCATAGATTTCGTCTCATCAGACGCTTGTTTTAAAACTGTTTCCTTATATTTTTTATCCACTTCTTCTGGATTATCTTTAAAATACACATAATCCATATCAGATCTTTCCCAATCTTGTTGATCTTCTCTTCTCTTATTAAAATCTATCCTCTTTAATTTTTTCTTATCAAGTTTATCAAATTGAATCATTTTTCCTTTTTTTCCATCTTTTAAAATTTCGTATTGAATCTCATAAAGAATAATCTCACCATCTACAATCTTCCAATAACCATTCTTATAACTCTTGTGTTCAAGTATTTCAATAAATGTCATTTCTCCATCTTCATCCTCATTATTTCTACCATTTTGTTCGAAAAATTCCAAATCCAATTCTGATTCTTTAGAAAATAAATATTTGATAAAATCTTCAATTATTTCTTTACTTTTGTCTGTCCAACTATGCTCTTCATCTAATCCATTAAAAAAATCTTGATATTGCTCTATTGTCGTGAAATTTAAACTTTGTAAATATCTACTATATTCTCTATAATTAAATAACGTATAAAATAATTTCTTTAAAATTACACGACATATCAAAATCGAATTTCTCCTCACTAAATCAATACCTTTTACTAACATATTATCAAATTTTTTACCATTTGCTAATAACGTATATTCATTTGTATTCTCAATATATTCATCAACCATTTCCTTTGTCAATTCGCTAACATTTAATTTTTCTTTGATATGTTTATCCAAATCTTTCCAACTATCATCATAATAATATTTTGGTTTTTCATACATCAAACCAATATATTTTTTCTTTGCAAAATATATAGGAGAGACAATAACTTTTTCTAATTCCATAACTATCTTTGGTGACCCGATAACATTAGCCATCCAATCATTAATCTCTTTTTCTAATTTCAAACCTTCGTTATACGTTAAAAGTACCATCTCTTCTTGAATATCATATATCACTCTTTGATATTCTCCTAATGAAGAAGTTTTATCTAATAATCTATATTCATATTTTTTGATAATTTCATTTATAATTGGATTGGAAAACTCGAAAAATATCGAATCTGTATCAGTATATTTCCAGATAAATTTCTTTACTTTTACCTCGGAAAATTTTCTATCATTCATTTTGAAACCGTTAACTAATACGTATATCTCATGTTCAGAAATCTCTTTACTTTCCATATATTCTTGTGCCATCTCCTACAGAAAAACCGATCATTTGTAATAAAAATTACATCACGGTTATAAGACGAACAAAATTAGTAAACTATTCTCATTCGAATGGGGTAGGCCCCAGCGTCAGATCTCTCTGACTCAAATGTTTCAAAAGTATGTTCCGAGCACCGTTATGGTCTCTGTCAATCTCAAAACCACATCTGTTACATCGGTAAATCTTTGCACCACCCAAGTTATGCTTGATGTACCCGCAATTCCCGCAAGTTTTTGACGTGTAATGTTCATCACATAATATCAACAACCTTCCCGGATACTCTCGTATCTTGTGTACAAGATGTTGTTGGAATCTGTGATGTGACCATGTCAACATCATCCTCGCGGTCTTGCTCTTGATCTTGCGCTTGAATTTCTTTTTGTGATTCTTGATAGATTTAGACTCTTGGTTATCGAGTTCTTTATCTTTCTTTCTTACCATGTTCTTGGTCTCGAATCTTGGTAAGAGGATAGTGTTGTAATTCTCACATAATTCTTTCACGATCTTGTGATGGCAGTCTCTTATCAGGTTCTTGATCTTATCATGTATCTTGAGCATCTTTCTTTTCAACTTGTATCTTTCACGTTTGTTGGATCCACCTTTGAGAACAGATCTCTGGCTTTGATATTCATCATGTCGTTTACATAACCGATACACACGTGAGATATCTCCTTTACCGTATTCAAAGATCTTTCCTTTCGGATCGTATCCTGTCATGAAAGTTCGTACTCCAGGATCAATAGAGATGAAATCATCATTCTCACGATATTGTTCTTTGATAGGTACAGGTACACAAACGTAAAATCTTTTAAAACTGTCACGAATAATATTGACAGCATGATTTATATCTGGAAGTTTTTCGGAAGTACGGATATTCTTGAGAAATGCGTATTCTCCTCTATTTCTCTTCCAATCACGAGCTTGCACAGTTATCGATTGTCGTTTATCTTTTCTGCTCTTGTATCTCATCTTGAACTTTTTTCTCTTCAATTTGAAATTTGATTTGTACGCTTCAAGTAATTCTATCAACACTTCGTCTCTGACACCGTACGGTGTCTCCAGCACCCACGTATTCTCATGTCTGAAATTCTCAACTTTGATGCATTTCTGTCTCAAGTTTTTCTTGGTCCTTGATTCTCCGTTTTTTATTAAGTCTAACGCTCTGTTGTACGTCCATTTCGCTGTACCCATCCATTTCTTGAGCTTTTCTCTTTCCTGTGATGTCGGGTATATCCGAATCTTTAACGTTTTCAATCTCTTTTCTCTTTCTCTTGTTGGCGGCAGCTCTTTGTCCGTTATGTCTCGCTGTGAAGACCGTGACGATAGATAATAGATCTTCGGCGAGCTCTCCTGTGTCTGGGTCGTTTGATCCAACATCTGAACCGAGTACCACGAGTTTGACATCATGTTTACTGAATATCCATTCAACAAGCTCGTATGCGAATCTGCAGAGCCTGTCTTTCCTGGTGACCACAACTTCTTCGATATCTCTTGCGTACACTCTTTCCAGAAGGGACGTGAATCCTCGTCGTTTCCAATTGAGACCTGACCCGATATCGGTAATGATCTCATGATCTGGAAATTCAGAAACGAGGTATGCACGCTGCCTACCAAGGTCATCTTTCTGCTTTTCACTGGATACTCGTGCGTAACAGATCTTTTTCTTTTGCGTGGATTCTCGACCGAATATGTTGTCGATATCATCTGTTGAGTAAAGACGTTTCCCTCCTGGCATCGTGATGTATGCAACGTCTCCCTTATCGTTCCATCGTCTGAGCGTACTTGTCGAGACTCCATATATTTTCTTGATCTTTTCCGCAGGTTTGTATTTACTCGTCATTGAGATGAGATGATGTGTTTTAAGACTGACAGATGGGTCTTTCTGCTCTCTTTATATACTTTTTTCTTATCATTAATCATAAACAAAACTCACCATGTCCGAATTTTCGATATTATCATCGAATATTTCAGATTATAGGAATTAGTAATTATGTTTTATCATCAATGATTATCAATAATATCTTTTGTCTCACCTGAATATAATTCCTTGCATACGCAGTAATTGCAGCCGATATATCATAATCACAAATGATAGAATACTGATTTCCAAATTGTCCATAAATAGAATTCGCTATTTTTTTTAAAGTATCTTGTAAAATATGATAATAATTATATAATAGATCTTTTTTATCATGTTTATCACGATTCTTTTTTGCTTCTTTTCTTTGCTTGACAAGCATTTCTACGATCATTGGTATTAATCCTTTTCTTTTTTTAGAAAATCTGACAATTTTAACATTTCCTTTTTCATTTCGGAACGATATTTTGTGACATTCATCCTCCTCTTCACCATCTTTTAATTTTGTGGTGAAACATATATTATGTTGTTGTATAATACTGGGATACAACGAATTAAAATCTAAAATTCCATTTACTTTATTCGATTGCCCTTTCTCTGGATCTCCGACATTACCACCTTCAAAATTTTCTTTTTCATTTTTTTTATTATATTGAAATGAAATATTGAAATTGTGTTGTTTAGAAAATTTAGCAATTAAATTATTTATCATCTTGGTCTTGTTCCCATGTGAATATTCGTATAAATCTATAGTTGTTAATCCTGATACCACTTTATACTCGGTAATCTTGTTTATGAATTCAATAGCTTCTTTAGGTCCGATACAATCCCTAATACAATATTCCAATATTCGTGTACACATTTCCCCTTTCATCTCTTCATCATATTCTCCATTATGACATTTATATAATATTTCATACATCATTTCTATCGGCATTTCCTTTTTTGGTTCTAACCCAAGTTTCTTCAATATCGAATTTAACGTCCATGTCGATAATGTTTGATAATGTTGTCTAAACATAGATGATTGATCATATTCATTAATACCATTCATTTTTAAATAAAAATGCTGAGCTTTCTCACTTGCATTTATAGTAGTGTATTGTCTCTTATAATGATATTTTATAATATTCATCAATGAATTATCCCTATGACTCGCTTCATACATAAACTTTTCAAATATCTTTAACTTGTATAATTTCCGAATCGTAAATTTCCAATCATATCCAAGATTATTCCATCCTCCGGTTTTTTCTGGTCGAAATTTATAATATAATTTCGCCTTCATCAAAAAAAACTCTTCTTCAGTCTTTACATAAACTAAATCAGTTTTTTCATCTATATAATTATATTTCACTGGAAATTCCTCATTTTGTAATAACACAGCAACTACATAAAATGGCTCAATCTCTCTCCCTTTAAAAAATACAAATACTCCCATAAAAGCTCTATCAACTTTGTATCCTGTAGATACTCTTCCTAATTTATTTATCTTCATATTATCAATATCTACTGTTTCATAATCAAAATACATTGATACATAAGTATCAAAATCATCAATAAATCTCAATTCTCTATAATCACATTTATTATCAAATATAAGTTTTGATAAAGTTCTATTAATCCTAAAGGCTCCTGATAATGGAAATGCATCTTTTTTTCCTTTGATGAATATTTCAGTCCTAGGTGCAATAAATGTAGCATATGATGTTGAAATATCATCCGCGTAAAGATCATACAAATGATAATTCTCTTCTTTATTCTTAATGATATCTCTTATTCTAAAAATCTCTTTTTTTCTGATATTATGATTCTTGAAAAAAACTCTGAGAAAATGAAAAGATTTTCCACTCTTATCATTTCTAACTATTATATCATGTCTTTCTCTATCCTTTATACTTTGAAGTATTATTAGTATTTTTTCAAGATGAGGTTCCTCTTCTAAAGGATTAATCTTAAATTCACAATAAACATCAAATCCACCAATTAAAATCCAAACATCAAGACTATTCGTAGTGACACATTTTACTTTCATATAATATTTATGTGTGTAAAAATCTTCATAATCTTCTACATAATCAGACATTGAATATTTGTTATCAATTGGATACTCATGACCAAAAAAATATTCACGTGATTTAATCATTTTTTTTTTTTTTTTTTATTAGGATAAAATATAATAATAATTTATAACAAAATAAAGAAATAAGTAAATATTTATAAATGAATTAATTAATAATATTAATAAATCTATCAGCTAAATTATTAATCGTTTCCTCATCATAATCTTTATAATTATCTAAATTAATAAAATCACTATAATTATAATCCTGACTACTAATATTACTATATCTATAATAAAGTTGTTTGAGTTCAAAATAAGAATGATTTTCCCTAATCTCACATTTATCAAAACTTCTTTTAATATTAATAATAAGATCAAAATTAATATTATCAATAAATTCCTGAATCTTTAAATTCAAAGATTTCTTTTGATTATCTGCAGCAAATTCTTGATTATAAATCAAAACATCATAAATAGTATAATCGAATAAAATATATCTTAATCTATTTTCTTTTTTCAATTCACTTGAATCTTTGTTTTTCATATCATCCCTTTTTTTATTTATCGATTCTTCCTCATCATCTTCAATCCTTTTATTAATCTCTTGATAAATTCTTTTATAATATCTCACAATTTCCTCTTGAATATTAATTTTAGTGTTTTTCTTGGTCATTTCATTAATTACATCTCTCAATTCTCTACTAACATAAATTTCCTCCTCATCAACTCCATTTCTAATTAAATATTCCTTGAAAATTTTTAATATTGATGATTTTCCACATCCAGGTACTCCAACAAATCCAATAACGAAAGGATATTTACGTTCCAAAATCTCTATCTCTTCTTTGATACGTATAACAGTATTTAAATTTCCTTTATTTATCTTTTTAACTATTTGTGAAATATAATCTTCATTAACTTCATTTAATCTTTTATTCTGATTCTTATACTCTTCAATCTTTTTCTTGTAATATTCTCGATTAAATTTCTCTGTAAAATTAATAACTTTTTGAATAACACTAGTTTTACCCAATCCAATCTCTTCAACAGAATCCTTTAAACTGTAAACATCTAATATATATTTTTCTTCTAATAAAGAAAATTCCAAATCATTTAAAAAATACGCAAATAAATTGGTATTTCTCCTCCTTAAAGATTTAAATCGATCCAAATCTGGAACAAAAAATTCTTCTAATTTTAAAAATGCTGCATCATTAAAAGTTCCATTAAAATTTTTTAAATTTTCATCATTTGGATTCTTTAAAGTGTATTTTCTTTCAAATCTAACATAAGAACCGTCAATCTTGTAAACTAAAGAAATCAGTTTACAAGAATATTTTATCTTTATAAAAAATAAAAAAGATCCAGAATTATCATTTTCTAAGTCTGATTTAGGTGATGCTTCCATTTTAATTTCAGAAGAGTAATCTTCATACAACATTTTATTTTTAAATATTAAATTTATTAAATTAAAGAAAAAAGTACAAATATTTATAAGAAAAAAATATTATTAATCATCCCCTTCATTATTAATATTTTTTATATTCTTACTATAAGGATTAAATCTATTTTTAGTAGTAATAGTTGTAGTAATAACCTGTTTTTTAACTTCTCTATATATAAAAGTACAATCAGGATATTCAATGGAAAAATTACTAATATCTGTATTTTCCATTACTCTAACTATATTACCTTCATTATTACGATTCTCATTAATTATATTATTAATTTTGACTAACGTATCATAAAAATTGTAAATATCACAAAGAAAAATTTTTCCAATAGATTTTTTGGCTTCCAATTTTGCATCAAGACTATACTTACCATTTGTAAGTAAAATTCCAACAAAATTTGTATCATTAAAAGTAGATGTTAAAGCTCCGAGTAATGCTTGTACATCTTTTTTAGGTACATGATTTTTACTTATGTCATGATGATATTTGCATTGGATTAAATATTGCACATTTTAATTTTTCCATGTATATCAATTCCACCATCTGGCACACTATGAATAACACCTATAGATTCAAGATCTTTTAAATAATTACGTGTATATTGTTCAAATTTTTTACTACGTGCTATAGCTGTTAACTATTTAATAAAAAAAAAAACGTAAATAATAATTTCATCATTACATCAATTCAATACAATATCAAGTGATAAATCATATCAAATATCTTTTATTTTCATCATAAATACTTTCAAGTGACAGATAATTATAACAGCGTAACAATAAAAGATAAATGCTAAAAATTATCATTCAGTGAAAACTCACACTTTCAAATTTATTATCAAATTTAAAATGTTTTTCAATGAGACTTTTATTATTCTCGACTGTTAATTCCATTTTTTACTGAATAAGAATATAGTATAAATTTCAGGCATTATTTATTAAAAATAAAATGTATTGAGATTATTAATATTGTTAAAAAAATTTTAAATAATAATATCAACTAAGATTTTCTAATTTATCTATATTCATATCATCAATTTTAATTTTTTTAATATTTTCATTATTTAAATTCTCGATAATATTATCATTATCAATACTTTCATTAGATCGTTTTTTATCTGTTTGTGTCATGATAAAATTTTGAAATTGTTTTTTAAATTCTTCATTTTCTCTTTTTTGTTCTTCCACCTGTCTTTTTAAATCTTCAATTTCTTTTGCTTGTCGGATTTCTTTTTCTTTCTTTTCAAATTCAGTTCTTGCTTTTAATAAGTTTCTAATATCATTTTTCGTATCATTACATTTTTTCTTTAATTTTTCTTTATATTCTTCATTTTCTCCTAAAAGTGTTAGATCATTCTTAAATGATTCAATAATATTATTACTGTAAATAGTATATAAATTCATAAATTGGACTTGTTCTTCATTTGTAAATTTTAATAAAGCATCTTTTTTGTATTCAGTCACAACATTAAAAATTTTAAAATAAATCTTTCCATCGAAATTATCTTGTTCAATTTCAGTAGACATTTTTTTTTTAAAAAAAAATAAAATATAAATCAATCTTCTTTTATTAAAAATGATTATTAATAATAATAAATATAAATAAATATTTTATTATAATCAAATATATTTCTTAAAATAATTAATCTATTTAATTCTCAATAATTCATCATTTAACTTTTCATTATCGAAAGAATGATGATTTGGATAAATATCTTTAATTAATTCAAAATAACTATTATAAATTAATTTTAAATAAATTTCTAAATCATTCTCTAATTTGCGACCACGTTTCACAACTCTTTCAATAGAATCTCTTTCCAATACATTAATATAGAATACTATCTCTTCATAATTAATTGAAATCTTGTATAATTCATCATTTAAATATGGAAAAAAAATATTTTTATAAAAACATTCTGTAATACCAACATTAGTAAAAAAAATAGTATCTAAATGTGTCCTATCAAAAATCACATAATCGTATTTCCAAAATTCTATATTATCAATATATTTTTTATATTCTCTAATCACAACATATTGAAACCAAAATACGATACTTTGATCATTTGGATTTTTCTTTATAACATCATAATATATTTGTAATTCTCTTTCAAGTATCAAAGTTATTTCTTTTCCAAAAAAAACTTTCTTTCCTTGACTTTTTAAATATTCAACCGAATAATTTGCTAATGTTGTTTTACCAGCACCGATAACACCAGTAAAAATAATAACTTTAGGTTTTTTTAAAATGAAATATTTGATAATTGTATTTATTAATATAAAATAATAACAGATATAATTCATAAACGATGTTAAAATAATAATAAATAAAATAACTGTTAAATAGGTAATATCCATATTTAGTTAACTAAATAAAATAAAGAAAAAACATTGGTATTTTTATATCTAAAGATATTAATAATAATTTACAATTTAATTAAAAAAGGATTGATAAATTTCATCATATCATCAATCGCATTTTCCACACTACTATCATTTTCAATAATTATAGCATCTCTACAAATACTATCTTTAAATTTTTTCCTATACAAACTCATAGTCTTTTTAATATCATCAATCGAAAATTTTCGATCACTTTCTTTTCTATTATAATAATTTCGTTCTAAATTTTCATCAGAACATAAAATAAGAAATCTTAATGCGGGAATATTAAATTCAACATGTTCCTTTTTAATAATCTCTAAATCAAATCCGTAAAACTCTTTGTAAATATCACCATCGGAAACATCTCGATCTTCTATCACAAAATCCATATTAGAATTCATACTATTAAATATACGTAAATAATAATATGTTAATAACGCATATTCAAACTTTTTCTTATCTTCTTTCATATATTCCAACAAATATTCACGTTCTTTTAATATTGATTCTGAAACAAGATCTACTGTAAATCCTTTTTCCTCTATCATTTTTTTCATTTCATTCATAAGAGTCGTTTTTCCGGCACTAGAAGCTCCAGATAAAATTATACGTTTCGGTCTAACATGTTCCAAAATCTCTTTTTTAAACATATTCATTGTTGGCGTTAAATTATAATTGTAAAATTCATTAGTCCAGATCCATCCTTCGTGTTTAGTCGGTTCTTTATTTTCAGCTTTAACAAAATCATCAACTAATGATTTATAAAGACAAACTTGATAATTTGTAGTCTTATTAGATAATATCAATTCAACTTTATTCATTACTGATATTCCAGTTTCTTCCAATAATTCTCGTTTTGCTGCTTCAATAAATGATTCACCTTCTTCAACTTTACCACCGGGGTGAACAATATTCACCATAATGTAAATCAGCTAATCGTCTCGAAATTAATATTTCACTATTCTTTTTGTAAAGAATGATAATTACGTATGATACATATTCTTGTCTCTTTTCAAATAATCCATAAAATTTAGCAATAATCAAAATCAATAGAACGATTAATAATTCTGATGGTAAAATCAAAATTATTTGAATAATCAATAAAAAAAATAAACAAAGTAATAATTTCAACATTTTTTTTTATGATTATTTAATATTTTTTTTCTTTCTATTTATAAATTTCATGATTATTAATTAGAAATTCTTATAAAACAACCTAAATCCAAATTATCATTAAAATAAAATGAATAATTTACCTACCGAAATAATATTAAATATCATTAAATATGATAACATCCGTAATCATAAAAATAAACTTAATTACCTCTTAATAAATAGATATTTTTTTAAAATATTAATTAAACCAATTTGGAATAATTTAATACTAGAAATAAATGACAGAGATATATTTGCAACTATCATTAATTCAATTTTTGATTATCAAAAAATATCTTGCTTTAATAACATGCTTCGTAAAAAACTATTTATCAATTACTTGAAATACATTACTAATATCAATTACGAAAAAATTAAAATATTAACAACAAAATACATAAAACGCGATAAATTTGATATCATCAAAAAGTTATCATCAGAAATAACTGAAAAATTAATAATCGAATCAGAGAAAATTGAAACAATCAGAATAAACCTCTTTGATAATAAAAAATTACTAAACATAATCAAAAAAAAATTAATATAAATTAATAATTTAAAATTTCCTAATTTAGTAAAGATTATCATTTATAATATCTATAAAACAAGTTTATTCTCGATTTTTTTTAAAAAAAAATCCAAAAAATGGAAGGAAAAACTGAACAAATCAAAACATTTAACAATTTCCAAAACGCAACTCTCCAATATAATAAAAAGGGAAATAATTTTATTTTTACCTTTAATTACGAAAATAATTATAAAAATACAAATCAACCAGATAAATTGAATGATAATATTTTAATCATTGGATTAAATACAGAAATTAGAGAAACACAATGGAAAGAAAATGAATGTAAAAATAGTTTAGAAACATTTAGCAAAGATATTTCTAACCCTACTAAATACAAAGGAGGAAATATTAAATTAATTGCTGATAGATTAATGAATCTCTTTATCACTTATTTTTACAATATCGATAATTTTAAATCAATGTTTAATAATTCATGTTGTGTAAGATTTATTATATTCACTACAGTGAAAAATAATATCAATCTTGCTAACTTTACTATTCTACAAAAAAATATTACTTACAAAGATCATCTCTTTGCAAAATTATTATCACAAAAACAAAAGTACCGAAAAAAACTATTGAAGAAAAAAAATTGGGTGATATAGTAACTTTAATGAATGATTTAAAAATCGAAACAAATGCTAAGAAAGAATACGAAAATATTAAAACTACTACTGATTTTAGAATTCCTTTTGAGATGATGGATAGTATTATAAAAAACTCCAAAATAGATGAACAAACTCGTATTCTCATAAATCAAAATATGGAAATTATTATTAAAAATATACAAACATCCCTAGGAATTGCTTCTAATGAAAAGAATAATACTAAAAAAAAACAAAAGGAATCATTTGAATATTATCAAAATCTAATTACATCTCAAATTAATACAAATCAATCTAATGGATCATTATCATTAGATAATAAAACATATGCTTCAAATATCAAAAAAGAATTTATTCCATATGGTTCAAATGAAATTGATTTGAACATAAATGAATTTGATTCAAAAAATAATATGGATATAGAGGAAAACATTTCAAATAATATTAATCCGAATATTAAAGAAGAACTTTAATTTTTTTTATTAAATTTGTTTATTATATATATTTTTATTAAATTCATATTATATATTTATTATATCAATAAAATTATTATCGTTATTATTACAACTTATATTTTCTAATAAATAAATCTTGATCTAAATAATTAAATCCTATATTATTCAAGTAATAATTTACAGAATCGTATTTGCATCTAAACTCTTTTAATAAATCATGCATATATTTTGTTGTCGAGTAAATAAATTCCTTTGATAAACCGCATGATATCATATCATTGATCATTTCTATTCTGTTTTCACCAACATCTAAATTAATAAAGGATCTCGAATATTCTAAAATAATAGTTTTATCTGATACTTTACATAATAACATGATTAACATAGAAATCAAACTAGTCCTATCCTTTCCGTATTTACAATTAATAATTATATCATCTTTACTATTTAACAATATATTGAATATATATAAAATTTCTGATCTACAAGCTTCTAAAAAATCCATGTACATCGCGACAATGCCTCTTTTCTTTACAGTAGTTGTCAAATAAAAACATTTTTTATCAATACTCGTAAAATGATAAATTATCCTTTGACAAAAACTCAAATTCTTATGATAAACCAAATACAAATCTGTTGTTATCATATTAACAGATACTGTAAACAGTCGATTTCTTACTTTGGAAAAACCATCAGAATAAAAATTTCCACGTAAATCAATAACTTTAATATTTTTCAATCCTTTTTCCTTAATTAAATATTGATAATCCCTTTCATCCATCAAATCAAATTGATCAGATCGATACAAATTCTTCGTACCAGCAATTTCTCTAAAATTTTTAAACATTTTTAAAATATCTTATTAAAAATAATTTGTTTATATAGTTTTAAAAATTATTAATTCAATACAAATTTCTAATTTAATTTTTTTAAATAACCATTTTCGATTAATCCTATAATACTATTATAAGTTTTAAATTGCATTCCTATTCCAGGTTGTTCAAACCAACCTCTAATTGGACCACCTAATACAACAAAAGATTTAATCACCTCATATACATGATAATTATACGGATATTTTTTCCTTTTTAATATATTGAGATTACTGGGTGGTAACGCACGTTGGCTATAAGGTAAATGAATCGGAGACAGATATTTTCCAAATTCAGAACCAAAACGATCAAGCTTTGTACCAATAGAAAGAGATATATTCCCTAATATTAATTCACCTTCTACACTAGATAAAAAACCATCATTAGGTGGATAAATATAACTTCTATTATCATATGTCCATTTTTTTAAAAATTCAATCGGACAAAGATTACCAAAACGAGAATATGTAACGATCTCTATTAATGATGATAATATTAAATATTATATTTATTAAAATCAATAATGAAATAAATTATCATTACCTGTAAAAAAATAAAAATCTTTTAAAAGTTTCTTTGGACCCAAACGTTCATCACCACAAACATAAGAAAAT